CACACCAGGTAGACAAAAATCACTAGTATAAGAAGCAACATGAAAGAACTATTTATCACGGGAATTTTAGATGTGCAAATAACAACTGAGCTTCTTACAAATTAGGAGAAAAATATGGAGCGATCAACCATTTCTCAGCTTCATGAGGTGAAGCATTTTCCAGTTCAGCCATTTCCATAGAACTTTCAACGATCTTCTCTGCCCATATTGCAATCAATTCAAATCCTGCATGCAGCCAATGCATGAATTAAATGGAATTGGCAAACTTGGAGAGTTTTTACTAATGAAGACCAAAGTTCTGATATCACCAAATGCATACTTAACAACCAAAAAGCTTCCCAAAATGATAAATGAAAGCAAATAATATAAAGCCAACTGGCAGGGAGAAGTTGCAGAAATGATGAATGAACAAAGTAGACGTAATGTCACTTGTATTCTTTAAAGACTATTGGCATTCTATCCAACAACGGCATCAAAGTAAGAATCTAAACCTGATTCCATTATATCTAGAAGTTCCTGTTTCTTCAGATTTACCTCTCACGGGATCTTCTGCAGAATACCACTCACTCCAAGGACAATCATCATCCCACTGAGTCCTGCTGGAGGTTTCACCAGTAGCATCTTCTCCAGATTCTGTAGCTCCGGAGTCAGTGCCTTTGATATCATCATCGTCATCATAAGGAATTGTTCTGTATGTTAGCTTCATTGCAAATTGGACTTTGAAAACATGAATGGACAGATCCAATGTGGAGTAAGCCTGCAGAATCAAATGACAACTATTAAAGGAAAAATTAAAGGACATTGTCACTTAGATTTTTCCATAAAGCCTCCATCTCTAACTTTACAGGATGATACAAATAGTAGATGCAAATATTGCAACATATGGAGGTAAAGTAAAACAGAAAATATAAAATATACGTATGCATAAATATAATATATATATATATATATATATATATATTGGAAGGGGTAGAAGGGGAAGCAAGCGTTAGAAGAACAATACAGGAAAGGAATATCAGATCAAATATGGGTTCAGTGCAAATCAGAATAACGGAACTAAAATAACACAAATACCAAACTGAATAACTAGGAGCAGGAACTCACAAACTTAGCCACAAATAATTCATACAGCCCTTCCAAATGCATGAGTTTTATGGGAACCTGGCTACCAATTCGATCTGCTTCAAATCGTCTTGTAAATACAGTTCCCAAGTTCTGAATTCCAATATAAGCTTTCCGAGAAGGATCATGAACTGGAACAAATGCTGGCCATAAACTAAATAACCAATGTAATGAGAAGTTAAAGTTATCTAAATCTTAATTACTGTGATATTTAAAAATTTATTTATTCAATATACAGATTTAACATTTTTTTTATACAATAATATGATTACCTCTCCACTGAAAACAGTAAAAGGTGGGACATACACCCAATGTTCAAGTGAAGCAGCTTTTAGTTACCAATTCCAATGTGGCAAGTAAGGTGATTTACTGATAGATGTAAGTTATAGTAAATTTTCATATTTCATTGAATATTACAGATCAAGAAACAATAGTTACCTAGAACAATTTGAAAGAGCAATTGCAATTGCACTCAATAGCTTGCTGGCCTCCGGCGCATCAAGCACCACGCCACTTGCACTTTGAGGAGCAATAACCTGACATTGTACAAGACAAGAAAGTGTTTCCTTAACAAAGTCATTAAATCCCCAGTAAGAGGAAAGATATAACATTAAAACGTACCAAAAAATCCTTTACACCAAAACATAACTGCAGATCATGCAAATTAAAATTCCGCTCTGCAGCTTTGCCTGTGTCAACCAAAAGCGAAGATAGAAAGAACAACAACAAATAGCCTTAGTCGTACACCATCCCCTATGGTCAAAATAATGATAGTCACAACAACGGTTACCGTTAGGGTTGGACTCAAAATAGTATTCCATGCAATAACTTTTCATGGCATACTTCATTTCAGATTTAACCTTGTACAAACTGCTGAAAGACTCGAGGAGAACTGCTCCTTTTTCCTGCAAGTTAAAAGAGAAGTTTCATTCACGTCAAAAAGGGAAATGAAATAAGCTTCCAATGGAAGAAAAAATGCAACTTTATAGGTGACAAGCCACTCTTTCCATCAACACCAGATCTTAAGATGATGTGACAAAACATAATTGAAGCAAATGATCCAAATCATATTAAGAAAAATTTAAGAGTGGTGAAACAAAGAGGTTTTAGATTGAATAACATAAGCAGGTGGAATAATGTGTTATTGGAGTATTGTTTGACATATTAATAATGATAACTCGGGCCCTTCACTAAACAGCAAGTTGTTTTGGGAGAGTTGATCCTTAACATGGTAACAAAGTCTCTTTGACCAAGTGGCCAGAAATTTTATCATTGCCACCCTCATTTATTGGATTTATCGAGTAAAATTATACTCAGCACAAAAGGCCATTTCATTATTCACACTTCAATCTCAATTGACTATTGGAGGAAGAGACATGCTAATATTATTAATCCAACCATTTTTTGGTCATAAATTGTTCATGTAAGCGCAGATTCTAACACTTTTAATGTTAAAAGAAACTTTGGTCAACGATATGCTAATAGGAAAAACTTTCAATAAGGTACCTTACCAACAAACAATTTGAAATACATTACCTTATCAACTTGATAGTGTACAGAAAATCTAGGCAACAAACTGTCTTGCGCTCAAATAAATGCATCAGAAATTATCTAAATCAAGAGTTTGCATATTAAACTATAACTAGCAACTTTCAGCAACAGTTGTGTGCGCGAATAATCCCATAGTTATTCAAGGCAAGGGAACTACACATATGCATAGGATGACCAAAGAGATGATTATTTACTCTCTACATTTTACACATACGAGCCTTGAATCAAAGGCACTTAACCGTGAATAGCCTTAAGGACCTAAAACAAGAGCCAGCAACATAGTAATTTTTCTGCCTATATATAAACGACTGTCAAAATGGATGAAAATTAAAGGGGGAGACTCTCGTGGTGTACCAACAGATTGCTGAGACTGGGAGGAAAAAAATCGAAGTCATCATAAGACGCACACTAAGGATAAACTGCGTGCATAGAGCGTACAGTCCTTGCAGGGAGTTGGGGGAGGGGGTGGTTCAATGGATCAGTGAAACTTTAAAACCAAGCAACCTTACCAGTAGATTCTTCGGGCCATCAGCCATCCAAAGGCGACAAACCGCCTCAATCTCAGAAATGAACCTATAAAATCGATACGGTAAATTATATGAGAGCTTAATGTACTCGGCGCAACATGGTATGCTCATCAAGAACTGAACAATTTCTACTAGAAGCACGAATACCTTTCCCATGAAGAAGCAAGAGTGAAGTCATCAAAGTGCTCTATCTGCATCAATATTAAGCACATTAAATAAATTAAAATTGCGAGAACAAATTTGTAAACATTAACAAGCCACGTTTCATAAATTTTGAGCAAACATTAAAGATGGAATCAGTTAATGACGTCGACATTCGATTTGATTAATTATGCTTGCATTCGAGTTAAGCTCAGGTTCCGTTCAGTGTCATAGTCATATTCAACACGAGAACTTACTGATTCTTCGAGAACCTCGTCGCCAGCATCAGCTTCGGCTTTGCTGTTACTGGAGGACGCCATGAAAGATCTGAGAATGTTACTGTATGTGTATCATATCCGGAGAAGACGATGCCGCCAATTTCTTTCCTCTTTTACTGGTTAAAGCACACTAAATTGAGTAGTGAACGAGCAAAGAGAAGATTAGATCTTCGAAATTCTAAAGGTGTGGTCGCCGATCCTGAAAAGACTAGAAAACTTTCGGCGTATTTGTTTCCTTTTTTCTTTTAATGGTTTTTTTCCTTCGTTTTACGTTGATAGTTAAAATGACGTAGAAAGCCGTTTATTTGATGCGCCTTCCCACGAGCTCGGATATTCAATTTCCGGCGGGGAATACTCGGCTCTTGCGGTGGAAGCCTAGCCCGATCAAAATCCTATACTCTTATAATCCTATTTACTTGCCTACTATTTTTGGGTTAATTTGTCATATGCAGTACTTACTGTAATTAAACATAAGAACAGGGGCGTTTTTCTTTTAAGGAGGAAGACAAGAAGACTTTTTTTTTTTTGGATTCTTTTTTACGGCACATTGCGAAGATCACACTCACACATGTACACGTGGTCAAAAATAAGAATTTAGATCTGAGTTGTTCAAAATCATTGGCAAATAAAGAATCGTTCAAGATCACCATTTTTGTAAAATTTTATCACCATCACTTTAACGCAATGAAAATTTTTTATAAAGGTAATTCCTAGTCAAAAAGAAAAAAGTCTCCATAAATATAATGCGATTTAACACAACTCAAATTCTCTGGTCCTGTTCGTTTCTTGGAGGATCACCTTTTGTTAAGGTGGCCTTGGTTTCAAGCCCATCGTGCACGGCATTTGGCATTTGATCGCAAGCGCTAACGACATATTGGACCAAAAAATCATATGGGCACTATTTTACTTGCGGTCCAAGTCAGAAAATTCTAGCCCAATAACACACTAGGAAAACGACGACGTGGCTCATGGTTCAAGGTCCCGGATTCCCCGGCCCACACCCACACCCTCGTCGCTGACTGACTTCATCAAATAGTATATTTATCATTCCATCCCTTTTTTGGCTCTGGCTTCTCTCTTCTCGGCCAATTCTCATACAGGCCAAGGGACAGAAATGGTACCGACCACCGACATGCCCAAAGAGCCCTTGTCCTGAGCTTTTGAAACCCTACGCCACTTTGGTATAGAAATCCATAAATGCCCCTCGCCCTCTCTATTCAGCATGACCCAGAGCCTCATATAAACGCCACTCACTCTTCCCGATTCTGCATTCTGAAGAGTGAAAACCCCAGACCGAAGGATAAAGAATCAGAGAAAACCGATCAGAGTAATCTTCTTCATCTTTCTATCTGTTTCTTCGCTTCTAATTAGATTCCATTCTTTTCCTTCGGTTTAAATCGGTACGTTGCTTAGGTTCCTTTCTTCACCTCAGGCTTAATCTTTTGGTTTTTTCTTTGCTTCTGGGTTTTGTTCCGGAATCATGTGGGAGGTGGGGTTAGGGTTTATAGTTTTGGCCCTGTTATTGTGTTGTTGGTTTGTCCCTGAAAGTGCTCATCTCTTTGCCGATCATGATGTTAATTTTTTGTTGATTGGTTCTGTTTTTGTTCTTGTGTTGATATTCTCGATGGTTGTGTGTCGTAGCTTGTTCAGCAGCTTACTGCACTTTATGCTTCCTAGAAAGAGACCTTGTGAAGGAGTGGTTGTAGAAGAAGAGAGTGAGAACAAGAACACCACAGACTCTTCGTCGTTCCCTAAGAAGCATCGGATCGGCTGCTTCGGCGCCTCCTCGCCTGCAGATACCGCCGATTCGACGGCTAATAACAGCAAACAAAACTTCAATTGCGGCAACACCAACAACAACAACCACAGTAGCGGAAACTTGCCTGAAGGATCATCGGCAATGGCTTTGGGTAATTCTAATCCGCCAGATATTGATGAGGATCTGCACAGTCGTCAGCTCGCTGTGTATGGTCGCGACACGATGAGGAAGCTCTTTGCGTCTAATGTCCTCGTCTCTGGAATGCAGGGTCTTGGTGTTGAGATTGGTATAGTCATTGAACAACCTTTCAATTGCTTTACATATGTCAATGGTTATTGCCTTCAAAATTAGATATGGGATGCATGATTTCCGTGTACTTTTGTGTTCCTTCTGGCATGCAGTAGTTATTGAACGAGGATTTCGGTTAAAATTTAGATTTAGATTTTACACTTCTGCAACATTTAAGAATTCTACATTCTCCAGAATGGTATGTTGATTACAAGACCCTTTAAGGATAATGCAAGCAATGGTTTTCTTCTCTTTTCTTTGAGCTTTCACATCTTTTCCTCGCGTAAAATAAAATAGTTCTCTTTGTCAATGATGGGGTTGGTATTGGTCCCTAGTCCCCTCTTGTCTCTTCTCCTGCGAATCAAGCGGGCCAGAATGTGTAACTCTCATTTTTTTCCATAATCTTATCATCTGATCGATTGTGCTGGCATTTACTGTCCAGCTGCTTATGCTAAATCTTGCAAACTTAGGTTTTTAATTTTATTATCGGATTGCCACATTCATGTGCAACTCCATTTAATGCTTCTAAGGAGCTGCTTATGTTGTCTTTTTGGGCAAATCCACCTGACTTGTATTGTGAGAGGTGTAGGCTTCTTTTTTTTTTTTTTGGGGTGGGGGGTTGTTTTCTTCTGCTTGCACTGGATTTCTTCATTTTCTTTATCTGATCAAGTATTATCCCATGACATTATCTGATCTTCTTGTGTAGTCTCTTCGGTTTTGTGCTAAATAATTAATGGAGTTTATTGCGGGCATATGAATAGTTGAATATTATTTGAACCATTCTGTTGGTTTAATACCTTCTCTCAAATGCTATTATTTTGATGATATGTAATTCAAGGCAGTAGCTCTGTAATACCAAATCATGCTAGTGTATTCATTTTGTGTTTTACATCCTGCAGCCAAGAATCTCATTCTTGCTGGCGTCAAATCTGTGACCCTTCATGATGAAGGGAACGTGGAGCTGTGGGATCTGTCTGGCAATTTTGTGTTTTCAGAGAATGATGTGGGTAAAAACAGGGCAGCGGCTTCCATTAGTAAGTTGCAGGAGCTCAACAATGCAGTTCTTGTGCTGAGCTTGGAAACTAAACTGACAAAAGAGCAGCTTTCTAATTTCCAGGTACTTCTTGTCCCTTCCGTTCTATTTTCATATTTATTTGGACATCATTTTGTTCCATTAAGAGCATTTATGTGCATATCTGCTATGTATCAAGTAATTTAGTCTGTCTTTGGCCTTATTTGGATTTCAAGGGTATCCATAGTAGTCAATTGTGAAATTACTTGTTTTATATGCTGCATCACTGTGTCGTCCATTTAAAGCATGACCTCATACAGCCTTGCTGATGTTAAACATTAGTCATAATTAAAACATGGATGGTTAGATGAGAAGCTGTAGTTTTCTTTTCCTGCTATTAATCACATGGCCAGTCTAGTATTTTTAAACATTAAGTATCCAACTGTACTAGTCCCCCTCCCCTCCCCTGGCGCTAGTGCTTTTATCCCAGAAAAGGTTTGTTTTGAGGAGGTGGTCTGAACTTCTTAACATGTTGGGAATGAAATAATTTAACTAACTGTACTGGTGCTGGCATTGGTTGTCGTGTTTGTCACCGAAAAGTAACAGTCATGCTCTTTCTATTGTAATATTGTTTAATATATATTGGTGGACTAACGATATTGGAAAAATAATTGATGATGATGATGCCATTTAAGGGATAAACTTTGAATGTTATTGACCTTAATTCCGTTCCATGTATATATGTAGCATGTTGATATGGTACTGCTCAAGGTGTGCATATTTTTATGTTCTAACTGTGCATTGCAAAGTTTGTCTGGTGATGCACAAAAATAGATGTATTTCATTGTGATTTATTTTTATTTGCAGGCTGTTGTTTTCACTGATATTAGCCTTGAGAAAGCCATTGAGTTCAATGATTACTGCCATAGCCATCAGCCTCCAATTGCTTTCATTAAATCTGAAGTCAGAGGTCTTTTTGGCTCCGTATTCTGTGATTTTGGGCCTGAATTCACTGTTTTTGATGTGGACGGAGAGGAACCCCATACGGGTATAATTGCATCAATTGGCAATGACAATCATGCCCTGGTATCCTGTGTTGATGATGAGAGGCTTGAATTTCAGGATGGTGATCTTGTTGTATTCTCTGAAGTTCATGGTATGACAGAATTGAATGATGGAAAACCAAGGAAAATTAAAAATGCAAGAGCATATTCTTTTACTCTTGAAGAAGACACTACTAATTATGGTACCTATGTAAAGGGGGGTATCGTTACACAGGTGAAACAACCAAAGGCTTTGAAATTTAAGACACTTAGAGAATCACTCAGTGATCCGGGTGATTTTCTTCTTAGTGATTTTTCCAAGTTTGATCGGCCGCCCCTCCTGCACTTAGCATTCCAGGCTTTGGATAAGTTTGTCTCTGAGTTACATCGCTTTCCTGTTGCTGGTTCAGAGGATGACGCTCAGAAGCTTATTTCTATTGCCAGCAATATTAATGAGAGCTTGGGAGACGGGAAATTGGATGATATCAACCCAAAACTTCTGCGGCACTTTGCCTTTGGTGCTAGGGCAGTTTTGAATCCAATGGCTGCTATGTTTGGTGGAATTGTCGGACAAGAGGTTGTTAAAGCATGCTCTGGGAAGTTTCATCCACTTTTTCAGGTTTGTATGATTTCTGGGTGTTCATTCTGATGGCTGAGCTTTGGTGTTTGGGTCATTTTACATGTGGGAGGTAGACTGAGCCCTAATGAGAGACTGTCTAATTGTGTTTGTATTCATTTGTTGGGGGAACTGAGAATAAGTTGGCAACATGGTTATTATTTGTGTCATTTGTTGCTTATAACAAAGGTATAGCCTTGTTATACTAGTGTTTTTAGAGTGCAAATTTTGGGGTTTGGCTGATAGTCTGCCATCCTTTGGTAAACATTTGCTGCATAACACTTTGAAGGTCAATGATGTGTCTAAGACTGTGGTCTTCAAGAATTTGTTATATTTGTGTGATGTTGTGCTTGTATTTTACTGTGTACTTTGCTTAATAGGATTGTCTACCTGCCAATGTTCTTGAGTTCATCCTGATCATGTTTTGGAAATGCATGTTCTAGTACACGGCATGGTCATGCAGACATGTGCACGCACATAGGGCATATTCCCACCTAGATGCATGTGTGCATGTTGAACATGACTCTGTTTAGCCTGATCACTGTGAATATATTCTGGATGATTTACTTCCATGTATTTTCATTATCCTTAAGGAGGAGCAGGATGTTACATTACGATCAATAATCATGAGACGTATTGGTACTACGAGCTGTGTGAAAATGGATGAGATATCAGAAAATATGGTTATTTATTTCCTCCACAAACTAGGGTTTGCATGTTTGTCATTGAACCCTGTCGCTTGAGCATTCTTTCTAGATCTTTACTCTTTCTTGGATTGGTTAGTGATTGTGTTTTAAACCTCACCCTTTTTGCAGTATTTCTACTTCGACTCAGTGGAGTCACTTCCTACAGAACCACTTGATCCCAATGATTTTATACCAGTAAATAGCCGTTATGATGCACAAATCTCTGTCTTTGGATCCAAGTTACAGAAGAAGTTAGAAGAAGCTAAAGTGTTTGTGGTTGGAGCTGGTGCTTTGGGATGTGAGTTCTTGAAGAATCTCGCCCTCATGGGAGTTTCTTGTGGAAATCTGGGGAAGCTGACAGTTACTGATGATGATGTTATTGAGAAGAGTAACCTTAGCCGGCAGTTCCTCTTTCGTGACTGGAATATTGGACAAGCTAAGTCTACAGTTGCTGCATCAGCTGCTGTTTCCATAAATCCTTCTCTGAAGATTGAAGCACTGCAGAACCGTGTGGGCCCTGAAACTGAAAATGTGTTTGACGATGCATTTTGGGAAAACTTGAGTGTTGTGATTAATGCACTTGACAATGTGAATGCTAGACTATATGTCGACCAGAGATGCTTGTATTTCCAAAAGCCTCTTCTTGAGTCAGGAACTCTTGGGGCAAAGTGCAATACCCAGATGGTCATTCCCCACCTGACAGAAATTATGGTGCTTCTAGAGATCCTCCTGAGAAACAGGCGCCTATGTGTACTGTACACTCATTTCCACACAACATTGACCACTGCTTGACATGGGCCCGATCTGAATTTGAGGGCTTGCTTGAGAAAACTCCTGCTGAAGTAAATTTATATTTGTCCAACCCAAGTGAATATACTAATGCAATGAGGAATGCTGGCGATGCTCAAGCAAGGGATAACTTGGAACGTGTTCTTGAGTGCCTTGACAGGGAAAAGTGTGAGACCTTTGAAGACTGCATTACATGGGCTCGCCTAAAGTATGCTTCTTTTATTGCACTTTTTGGTAACTCTTCTGTAGATAACATGATTTTGTACTGAGAGTACACTAATTTCATATATGGGCGTCTATCACAGGTTTGAAGATTATTTTGCTAATCGGGTGAAGCAGTTGATTTACACTTTTCCAGAGGATGCTGCAACTAGTACTGGAGCTCCTTTTTGGTCCGCTCCAAAAAGATTCCCTCATCCACTGCAGTTCTCAGCTTCTGATCCTGGTCATCTTCATTTTGTGATGGCAGCTTCTATACTGCGAGCAGAAACATTCGGCATACCCATCCCTGATTGGGTGAAGAACCCAAAGAAGTTGGCTGAAGCAATTGATAAAGTGATAGTACCTGATTTTCAGCCAAAGAAAGATGCAAAAATAGTGACAGATGAGAAGGCCACAAGTCTTAGTACTTCTTCAATAGATGATACAGCTGTTATCAATGATCTAATAGTCAGGTTAGAGCGTTGCCGGGCGAACCTGCCACCAGGTTTCAGGATGAAACCATTCAGTTTGAGAAGGTCTGTTATTCTATATTTTCTTCTATGCAGCTGATTTTCATGATTCTTATTTCAGCTTCGCATTGAGATATAGCTTTTGTATGCGTTCTCTTGCTTTGACATTTTTTTCAGATGTAATTCATTCTCACAAAATATGTTACTGAATAATATTCTCCAAAACTGCAGGATGATGATACAAACTACCACATGGACATGATAGCTGGCCTTGCCAACATGAGGGCTAGAAATTACGGCATTCCTGAAGTTGACAAGCTTAAAGCTAAGTTCATTGCAGGACGTATCATTCCAGCTATCGCAACCTCAACTGCCATGGCCACTGGTCTTGTCTGCCTGGAGCTTTACAAAGCATTGGATGGAGGGCATAAAGTTGAGGACTACCGAAACACATTTGCTAACCTAGCACTTCCTCTCTTTTCCATCGCTGAGCCAGTTCCGCCTAAGGTCTTCAAACACCAGGATATGAGTTGGACAGTCTGGGACAGGTGGATTCTTAAAGATAATCCTACACTCAGGCAACTTCTTGAGTGGCTGAAGGAGAAAGGCCTGAACGCCTATAGCATTTCATGTGGAAGCTGTCTGCTCTATAATAGCATGTTCCCCAGGCACAAAGACCGAATGGACAAAAAGATTGTAGATCTAGCAAGGGAAGTGGCCAAGGTAGAACTCCCTCCATATCGTTGTCACTTGGATGTTGTTGTGGCTTGTGAGGATGATGAGGATAATGACATCGACATCCCTCAAATATCCATTTATTTCCGTTAGGCTATTTTCATCCCATCGGGTGTACCCGGGGCGTATCCTAGATGAAAGGACTACCATTGCAGCAAGTTTAGCTCGACATAATTTGTAGTGGCTTCTCAAGCCAACGCTGTTAATTATATCACAATTCGTACATGAATTGCTTTGCCCATCTGATCATGTGTAGTTAAACTGCACTCGTGCATGGAGTTGTTTTGATTTTATTGTTGGGTGTTGAACCAAAGATCGACTTCTCTCCGGGTGTGACGGGGGCTGGAAGTCTCATTTCATTTCCTCTTGCTTTTGGTCTCCTGGAGGTTGGTCGTTTCTCGCAAACGGCTAACTGTTAGCGTGTTAAACTGTTTTGAAGAGCCTTTGTATTTGACGATCACTTGTTTTATTTGCGGTTTTTATCACTGTTGTGTGGGATTTCTTTTTGGGCCAACATTATTGTGTGGCCTAAAATGTATAGAAAGATAATTTAATCAAATTTAAAACATTTATATAATTTTATCTGTTTCGTCTAATTGCCCCGGGATGCAGGTGTTCACACAAGTATATATGGTCAGTTAAGAGGGTATTTGGATAGATACAAAATCATAATTTTAAAAATATTTTTATAATATACGAAATGAATACGTGAAGGGGTTTGTGTTGATTTACGGAAGTGTTTGAAATTTAGTATAACCTAAACACTTTTTAAGTGTATTTTGTAGGCTTCTGCTTTCTGTTCTTGAGGAGACAAGAATAGTTTTCATCCTCCGAAAGAAAGAAGAAAGATATTTTAAAAATCTTTAATATTTGGTTTAATTATAAAACTCAGTTAACTAATATGGAGAGATTAAGAAACTTATTTAAATTAGTTATTTGTAATAAATAGATGTTTTTTTTAAAATATCCTTACTATCAAGTTCGTTATCTAGAACTAGTATTATTAGAAGAATTATTTTTTAAAAAATGAATAAATATAGAAACAAAGTTTAGGTTTTATATTTAGAATCAAAATAAAAGTCAAACAAAGTTTTATATTAAGGACAGAAAGTAATATATTTTAAAGTGCACATGATTGTATTTCTGAATTATAAACTTACGGTAATACGTAATAAAATTAAGGAGTGATTGTGTTGTGTAAAACATTCGCTTCGACTTTTCAGGCCGCCGCTTCCTTTTTTTTTTTTTTTTTTTTTAATGGACGCAGATTTCCGACTATTTTCACACCATGAATGCTCAAAATAGTCATTTTCTTCACAGTCTCGTTTGATCTGCAGCCTTACCACAGTAATATGTTAATGCAAAACCGCAGGGTAGTAATTTAAAGATGAGAAGAAATCCAGCCACAAGAAACTTGGCATCCATCATAATAAATAAGATTTTGGGAATTGTCACAACATTATCGATCGTAAAATACATTTTAATCAGCAATGACTTTTGTTCAAATAGTATCTGTTCATTTTTATCAGCACCCTCATCAAAGTCTCTGGAAACTCCAGCTCTGAAATCCAATTGTTTCTGATGTTTTGAGCGACGACGCTCGTCAAAATTGTCCCATCCATCAAACTGCAAGAAGTCAAGCATGTTTTCTAAGACTCCATATGACTGTTGTTTTAGAGCCATTGATGATGTAAACGTTATGTTGGAAAGAAACCTAATGAGGTGTCTCTGAGAAAAGCAACAAAAAGTGCATACCTTGCGAAGGATATCAATGGTCATTTCTGTATTGTGAAGATCCAATGTGGAGAGCTGAAGTCAAGCCTTGAATAGCTTAGATGGAAGGGATTTCATCGCATTGTTACTAAGATACAAAGCCTGCATGATGACCAGAAACACCAAGGCTGTGTTTGTGAGTTCATGTCAGAATATAACAAAATGACTGATAATGGAATGAAATAAAGTAAAATGGTAATTCGCAAGGAGAGAAAAGCTGGCAATATAGGATTTTAAAACTTCGAAAAGAAGGGAAAACGAAAACTCTTCTAGTCATAAAACCAAGACTTCCACGCTAAGAGATTTCCAGAGCATGAAATAAAGAGTTTTGTTTCATGAATCAATCCGAGGCACTCACAGGAATATTCAAGGGCACGAGTAAAATTGCAACAACAGATAATTAACAGCTATGACTTTAATTTAATCAGAGGGCTTTAATTGTTAGGCATAAGAGTGGGCACATGCCTTCAAACAGCTCAAGCTACTGAATGTCTCTGGCAATTCTGTGAGAAAATTGGATGAGAAATCAACCTGCTCCACAAGAAAGTCTTGATAAGCACGCTACAGTAAAAGAAAATCACAAAAATATATACCATCCCTGTCATATTTTAAATTCAGTTTAAATAATACACCACTGGAATACTTTGTTTCTTTTTTCTTTTCTTTTTTTTTTGGGGGGGGGGGGGGGCTCAGCATATGTACCTCAACAAGAGAACAGCAATTTCCTATAAATTCGCTGACAGTACTCATCCTGAGAAAAACTGACATGATTATCAGCACAATATTTTTACTACCAAAATAACATAAAATTTTAATTTTTTATAATGTGTTTCTGCAACAGTTATAACCACATGAGGGAAATGGTTGGTTAGGTTAAATGGACTGGACCCATGAAGTTCCGATTGCAGAGAGGGAGAACACTAAGGTTTTGAGGACATTGTATACTATGTACTCCTCCAGTCTTAAGGACCTAATTGTTAAATTGATTTTGGTCCTAAATATAATACCTATTTCTCATATTTATCAATTTTTCCTAAATTACCCTTATGGATATTCTCTCAACCATAACCAAGTAGAAGAAGGAGATAAGGTATTAAGGAAGATGATTATGGTGTTTTAAGAAAAACATGTCATATTTCTTATAATTAACTAACTTACCTAACTTCCTTAATTTAATCAAATTAGTTAAATAGGTCTTATATTAAAAACTAGAGGAGTATTCTGTATTTGTAAGCTTAGTATGGTCAATTCTAAACATAAATTTTTCTACTTTCGGTTCTTAAATCTCTACAACATATAAATCAGAAACCTATAAGTCAGTTGCAAACCAACTACAGAAGAAAGGAATAGGGCAAAAAGAAACACGATTACGAGTTTGACCAAACTAGATAGTGCATCATTTGTGGAGTAAATAACTGACTATAAGTACATAATTCATATTTACCTATTATTGTTCGCTCGCAAAACTTCCAGTTTTGTCAGATGTCCGATTTCATTAGGTAGGTTAACCAACTTATTATTGGAGACATGCAGCTCCTTTAAAGATATTAGAGATCCCAGAGCAGGAGGCAAAGTTGTCAGACTGCAAAATGAGTTCACTGAGCAAATTATGTAAAGGACATTATTGATAGTCTCCAACCAACTTGATTCAACACAGGAATCTAGCAAGGCAAAAAGATTGGAAGCATTCACTGAACTATGCTGTAAAGATAACACGATAAATAGAAGTAATATAATCCAAACACAGTACCCAGACTAAGACAACAGTCAGAGCCAAGCGGTTCTCAAATACGTCGCACAGGCAAATATTAGCAATTCTACTTCCTCCTTTTACCCTTTTACCTTAGGACAGGTGACCCAACTACAGCAACATGAGAGATGATCTGATTGAATGAATCCATTTAATTTTGCTTCAAGCCAGATACAACAATATATGTAATGATATTCTGGACAACTTCGGCATCAACAATGTACATGCATTGCTGTTAATTAATTTGGCATTTCATTGGAGGTCAGCCAAAATAAAAACACCCCGAAATCATAAATGACAAGAATTACTCACTGGTTCTGGTTCAACGATAATACCGTTAGGTGCTTCAGAGTTGTTAATCCTTCCCAGCTTATTGATTCATCCAGTAACTCATTTGCATTAAGGAATAGTTTCTATAACATTAGGAATGCGGCAACCAGTGTCAAATGTTGCTTCACTAAAAATTTCCATACATAGGTGAGGTTACAAAACCACAAAGACATAAACAAGTTCAGCTTACCTCCAAGCCAGTAAGGCTTTCAATTTTAACAGGCACATTTTGAATTGAGTTGTTGCTGCAATCTAGAACTCTTCCATAAGACCCAGATGCCCACAGTTCATCGGGTATAGCCTACTTAAGTTACAATCAGTAGGAAAAATAAGAGGACACTCCATACCAAATTGGCTAGTAACAAACAAAAAATATATTCTTCTTCTTTCCCTTTCCCCGGGCTTCCTTTGCCATTAAGCTTCTTTCCTCCCTCCTCTCGTTTCTTTATTTATTAAAATTGAGCAGATTCTCACGACATATACGGTCTTGACTAAATAGACTAATCACTATCACCATGGACCTGCGAGCAATAACTCACATAACAAACTTTGAACCCCCCCCCCCCCAAAAAAAAAAAAAAAAAACCCAGTTTTCATCCTGGGGCCTGAAGTGTTCATTTCATTTTCACATCCCTTACATTCATACCATCAAGCAAAACTGAAGATTAAGTCTTGCCACAATAGTTGTCAAACTTAAATTCAAATTTTATTCACTGTTAGCGTGAATAGAGCTTAAAACTGAAGGTAAACAGCATAGGGCCACATATTAATTCTGAGACTTTAAAAATAGTTAAAGAAATCCTGAAATGCTTTCATAATTCGACCCTTGTTTACTTGCGGTGTCAAAGTTATATGCTGGCAATGGATCAAATCCCCGGAAAGACCAATTCGTCATTGACTAGATTTATCTAGGAAACCTTGGAAAAGAAATTTAACATACTAACAATAGTTTGTTACCTTCAAGTTACATTCAGACAGCGCTATAACTCCAGTGGCAGTCCATCGTTCCAATCTGTTCTTAACAGGAAGTTTCTTTGCGTCACTGCTCAGGCTTGAGCGGTTATCTCTCCTCGTCCTGGGTACAGCCTCGGCTTTTTTCAAGATCGGACCCTCCTACACAAAGAAATTAGATTAAAGAAATGGCTTAATTTGAAGAACGGCATTAGTTTTCAGTGTCATATAAATGAAAAAGGAATCAATAGTGCTTCTACAAAACATAATTTCGTATCTAAGCTTGATCATCGCTATATGACTAAATGGTTGTCTAAATGCTCCAAATGTCAAAAAAGACACCCTCTACGAAAAGAAATAAAATGAATCTACAAAATACCCCTTGATGTAAACCCTGGGAAGCCACAAGCATAATCTTGGCGCCATTTGTCAATTCAGAAGCCGTCAACGTCAGAGAATCCTCCAAAACTCTTCCTGACAAAACACCCGATCATCAACAAAAGGATCCTCGCGATAGATGCGACGCCTTCGTAAAGAGAGATGAAAAAAGAATTGAAGAAATAGTATGTAAACAAAACCTTTGAAGATGAGCTTTTGGCCTCGGGGTAGGACATTCGTGGGCGGCAGGAGAAGGGACTTGAGATCACTAATGGTTGAGTCGGGTGAGATTGAGATGGGTAT